CTCGCCTACATCGTCCATATAGGACGACTCGGGAACTCAACTCCTACCCCGGGCAGCTCACCTATCCCCTTATGCCCAGGGGAAAGGTATCAAGCCGTTTGACAGCTGATGCTGGCTGTCAAACCGGCTTTTACGCAAAACAGGCGGGAGGCAGCAAACAGCTGCGACCGACGAAATCGCCTGCCACCGGAAGTCCTTCACGTGGTCATTTGTTCTTATGACCAACTGCAGCTTCACTGCAGCAATACCCCTGCCTATCTCCCACATGCCTTGGACCTGCTTCCAACCCACAGGGCCCTACAACCTCGTTACCTTTGAAAGATCTCTGGTTAGGAAAGGAGGATAGATCACTGTTCCTGGACTTCATGGCCAGTTATGGCTGCAATCCCATTACTGGCCACTATTGAATTGTGGCCACTCAGAAAACGGCATCCGCTTCCAGGATTGCACAGCCCAGGAACGAGGACACCTGTCGTTCCCTAATCCTATTTCCAGAGTTTGAAAAGTAAATGCGCAATGAGTGAAGCGGTATGAGGAGAGTGTAGGTTCTGTTGGAATAGAAACAAGCCCAAGGCCTGTAAGGATTTTGGATGTTTTGGATATATTTTTTTTGGGATTTTAACTTTGTCTTAAACAAAATAAAATATATACAAAAATGATCTCTGACCATTATGGATAGTCTCTATTATGGTCATCAGTCAAAGATTACCTGTACATTAAAATTCCTAGTTTTTATCTAGTATGCTACTTGCCTGTTTCTGTTAAACAATATTGCTAATCTATATTGGTTTAACTGACTTTAATTATAAATTTTTAGTTATAGAACTTTTTTCAAACCAATTTAAGCATAATGTTTGCTGAAAAATTGACAAATAACAACATGGCTATATATAAGTATTAGGGATGCTTTAATAACTAATCTTTGAATAATATGTTAATCATTCATATTCTGGAGTAGAGAGGCCTGTAACTTGAAGCCAGATTTACTGGGGGAGGGGGGGAAGATAAGGCTAAAAGAGCTGAATTCCACAAATTTTCTTGAATTATACATGACTTTCATTATATCCCAGACACTCAGATTATACTTTTAGGAAAAATAGAAGCACAGACTGGTATTAAAATATTAAGAAATAGCAATGTCAATTTCTCTCTTTGGGATTGGAATGGAAGCACAAATTATACAGGATAGCTTTTTATTTAGAAATAACCAAATTTAAATATAGTACAAGCTGTCTAAGTTTACCTGTTAACTGCAGTACTTATGTTTTCAAAGAGATACAGGCTTTATGGTGGGAGGAAGAATTACTCATTTATTACAACTGTGACTCTAATAAATTCATATATAAGGATATATATAAGGATTTTTTATGTGCAATAAATTATAGGTAATTCTCACTCAACGACCATTCATTCAGTGACTGCTCAAAGTTACAATGATGCTGAACAAATGATATTTGCAGCCATTGCAGTGCCCTCATAGACACATGACCAAAATTTGGGCAATAGGCAGCCTGTTCATATTTAGGACCACTTCAGCTTCCACCTACCTATATCCCACCATCTCTGCCCTTTTAGCCATCCTGCACCCCCATGGACCCTGCCATCTGCGTTCAGCTGTCCCCAGCTGACCTTTACTCTCTTCTTTCTCCTGGTGCTGGTGACAAGGCATGTCAACCTTCCATAAGGAGGCTGCAGGTCAGTGAAGCCTTCTTTCCAAAGCCTTGGGAAGGCTTTCTGAGGCTCCAGAAAGGCTGCTTGCAGTTTCAGGAAGAAAGCCTCAGGAAGGACCAGGCCAGGCACATCTTGTCAGCAGTGGGCATTGGAGTGCAAGATGGTGGGGATCAAAGCAAAATGCAGGGAAACCAAAGGGCAAAAATGGAGGACATAGATGGGTGTGGAGAGTTGAAGAAGAGGCAAGCATGGCAGGGCAGGAGAAACATGAAACTTTGCCTATCAACCACTACTGGGACTACTGAAACTATTGTTAATAAACAGTACAATCCTGTGAAAATTTACCTAATGACTGCATTGCTTAGCATTAGAAATTCTGCTTCAAATTAAGGCAATTAAACAAGGACTACCTGCACACAGTTACTGAAATCCATATCTGCAGATTGATCAATATACAAACAGGAAATATAGCTGCACTCCTTGGAACAAACTAGTTTGAAAAATAACTGAAATGTTAGCATGCTTGGCAAGAAGAATCTACTGTGAATCTTTTTTCTTTGACAAACTATTTTATTTAAATATCTTAAATAATTTGGGCAATAAGCTTGCATCAGCCTTTATGCTGAACTGCACAATTTTTTTTTTAAAGCAACATAGATTATAAAAATTACCACTAATATTTTAAAAAAAATTCACATGGTATTTTAATATCAATGTGGGATTGGCTCAATCTTTGAACTTATCACTAAATCTAGAGAAATCATAGAGAAACATTGTTCCAGCTTTTCATTTTTGGAATATTAAATATTAATATTAAATATTTAAAATATTAAAACATCTCTAAATAACAATCATATCTTCAGTCCACCGCTTATATTTCTGTAATTTTATTCCTTAATAAAACCAAAGCTTTTCATAAAATGACAATTTTTTTACATTAGGAATATAGTATTTATATGCACATATTTCAACTGTTATATTTCTTTCCAAAATTATTAATGTAAACTGTAAGTCAAAATCAAAGGAGAGCTGTAGCAGGACATGAGCAAATCATATGAATTAAACAACTCTCAAATTTTTCCTAGTGACAATGCACACAGAAAATAATTTGATACCCAGTCTCTTAAAAACATTATTTGAGGGTTCCATAAACATGAAACATACTTTCTGATGTATTAGCTTCTTTCTTAAATCAATATCTGGACCTGGTTCTAATGATTTTCAAGATTGGGTATTTCAATTTTTCATTCCACATTTCAAGTATATAATAGTAGTTTTCATTTAATTTCTACTTCATTTTATTTTTGAAAATTCCATGTAAAATTTAATTGTTCATTTCACTTTAAGCACAGTTTCTTTTAAGGATCATAAGATTCCAGGTACCTCTGAAGCTGCTAAGGCATCTGGTCCATATTGCCTATTGTCTTCAAATATGGATTGTTCAAGTCAGTTTCTTTATAGTTCTGGGTCAAATTTTCACCGTTTATCTATTAGCAACAAAATATGTCTAATGATCTTTAAGGCTAAAAAATGAAAATCCTTGTTGTTATACCTTCATTCTAAAATTTGCTAGCCAAAACAGGGCAATACTCAGAAAAAAATATTATTCCACAAGAATATATGAAATGAAAACCAGGTAATAAAGCTGAAAATCTGATATATTAAATCTCAGTTTTGGTAAAAAATATTTTAAGGGTTTTGGCTGCTATAAATTTGTTAGTAATTTATAAAATATCTGAACTGATACAGTAATTCCTTTTAAAATATCTATATAAATATAGATACAATACTTTAATAACATCCAGTTTCAAAGCAAATGTATTAATTAAGAATCCAACACTCTGACCTGGTAAATACTGAATTACCATTTCTGTGTATCACTCCAAAATACTGCAAAGGACCAGAAACGGGTTTCAAAATATTTCTGTTGGGCACTGTCATACAGGGCAAATAATGCTGCTAATTTCCTTTAAAATCTTAGTTAAACAAATTAGCAGAGTTATACATTCTCCATACCACTGATTGATAACATATACATATGGTCCTCAAGATACAATTGTAATGGAGCCTGCCTATCATGGTTGCATGTTGCAATGGTATCTCACATAACAATATCCCATGCTTACTCTCCCCAATACAGTCAGGTTGTTAGGTGGGACATGGAATGCCTCAGATGGGGAAGGCCCTTGGTGGCCTAGAATAGGCCCTGGCCTGCCTGCCCTGGCCTTCCCAAGGCCTTCCCATTTTCCAAGACATCCTATGCCATACTTCCTGCCCCTGCTCTTGACTCCCATTGTGACCCCCTAGGCCAGTGATGGCAAACCTTTAGAGACCGAGTGCCCCAAAACCATCCCCCACCCGTCCCTGCTCCGCCCTGCTGACTGGGCCACCCACCACCTCCACGGCCTGCCACAGATCACTCAGGCAGCCCAGCAGCACCATGGCAGCCATGTCCTCTGCCCATGCCCCCAGCATCATCTGCATGCAACGGGGCACAAGGGCAGAGTCTTGTCCCCGCTGTCCGGCTACCATGTCCTTGGCTGTGCTGCTTTGCATGGGCCGCGTCCAGGGGCAACTCTCCTCTGGGGGGGCTGCTGGTGAAGGGGCTGTGGGAGGAGGCAGGAATGGGGAGACGGTGCATGTGCCCACAGAGAGGGCTCCGAATGCTGCCTCTGGCACCTGTGCCATAGGTTCACCACCACTGCCCTAGGCCTTAGGCCTGATTCCCATGCCACTGAACTAAACACCCTCTTCACTTACTGTTTGAAAGTTCAAGGCCTCCTAGAGTGCTGGAACAGATCACTTCATCATGCAGCCATGTGGCACAATTCTACAAGTGGCAGAGATATTTATAGCCATCAGAATGCAGTTCAGCCGCTGGTATTTGGCAGCCATTTCTGGAATAGTGCCATATGGGTGAGGGACAATTTAGTTTGCACCATCATTCAGAAACCTCTGGGCCAGAATTAGCTACCGCTTTCAGAAATGCACCATGCAGCCACAGGACAAAGCATTCTGATTTGCTACCTAATGAGGTCTGCCTAGCATTGCAGAAAGCTGCATCACTATGCAGTTTTAAGGCAACAAAACCAATTTGTCCCTTGCCTGCCATTTTGCCCTGCCATAAGTGGGTGGAACAAAATAGTTGCATATGGATCACCGCTGCATGGCCCAAGGACACATAGTGTGTCCTTCTGTAATATGATGTCCAGAAATCTTCAAAAGATAAATTGGAATGTGTGACAGAAATGTAAGGAGCAGGCCCAAGTGGTGTGGGGATGGTGAGATGAAAGGTGGGAGAAAGGAGGGGAGGCACTGCAGCAGCTGTAACTTTGAAACAGGGTCATATGTAGGTTTTGGGGATTCTGTTGTAATATCCAACAGCTGTTAAGTGACCTTTGTATCTTGAGGAACTACCTCTACAAACCATAGGAAAATCTCATTAACAGTACTTTCTCCCCACCTCCTATACATTTTTAAGGATATAACATAACTTTTAAGATTTCTTATGGGGAAAAAAATTAGAGAGCTCAGAATATTGTTGCATCTACTTTTATTTTCTATATTAATTTGCAGCTAATTTCCAAACTAGCAAACAATACTTTTTCTCTCATTTCTGTATGAAATGCAAAATATTGAACTTGGGAAGGCTGTATTAGGAATATACACAAAACAAAGTATTTTATAAGCAATCCAAAATCAAGACAAACTGAATTGTTCTGGACTCACTATTTTTATAGAATAAGTAGGGCAATCCCTTAAACAGTTCAGTATTCTAACTAATTTCCATATTTTTTTAAATCCACGCAAAACATTGTCAGATTGAATATTTGCTTCCAAAAGTTAATATTATAATAGGAGAAATTGTATGTAAGACATCCCAGACAGTTTTAATTTGATAGACTGTTTATTTGCTACCCAATTGGAATGCCTAATAGATGTCATTCTAAATTAGCAAAATAAATGTATCTATGGTAAAGACTGCATCTAAAATCTTTGTAACAGAAAACCATAGTTTAGCCTTTAACTAATCTATAAAATAAAATTTACTTAGGGTTTGTTACAAAGAAAACAATATGATACTGGTTAGGCTGGGTGGCTGTGACTAATTTATGGCAGATATTCAGGGCTATCCAGAAGTTGCTAAGTTGTCTCACTGGTGGATATATTAGCCAGAGCCATATATGCAGACTTTTTAAAAATTAATGCCAGATAATTTTTTTAGCTTACCGCATTATTTACAACTTGTGGATGCAAATGAAATTTGACTACTATGTTTAGACTCACTTCAATGGTCCTATAAATAAAGATATTGACACTTATTTTAAATACTACAATAGGCCTTATGGGATGAAATAACTAATCTCATATAGACTGTTTCCCCTACCCATTCACAGTATTTCTTAACATAGAAGACAATAAAGACTGAGACATTTCAATAGTCATCGCATATCTTTGAAGATATTTCAAGTAATATAATTGTAATATAATCCTTATGTGCTATAAGTGGGTGGCAAAAATTGGTATTTAAACTTCCATTATTTCAAAATATTCCAATTCTTTTCAAAAATACCTTGAAACTCAAAGGCTGATCTATTTCAGTAATGTAATGTTATTGCTCTGGCCACTGAATTCTTGAATCACACTTATTTTAAAAAGTGCTCCACATTCAATATTAAAACAATAAATAATATTTTTTCCCTTAAAATATCTTCAATTGACAATTAGAACATTTAATAGGAATACAATTCAAAAGAAGCTCTTAGAGATAGTTTTCTGTAGGAAACAGGCTCTTATCTGAATCTAATGGTCAGTTTTTCTGGCCTTTTCTCTGGATTGCTGCCAAGGCGTTTTTCTTCACAGGTGGGCATTTTCCCCCAATCAACAGTTGAAAATTCCATCATGCCACGCTTCATTGCCCGCACAAAGACAGCATCTTCTGGATTTGCAAATGGTATTCTTTAAGAGTAACCCCCACCCCCAAAAAGTTAGTAAATGACAATATTCTTATTCAACCAATGGTTAAATAGGCACTTGCATTGGAATTTAAGCATATTCTTAAAATAATCACAAAAATGGGCTACCATTTCTAAAACGAGGCTCCTCTTAAGTTTTTTCTCTGTAATCTCAAAAATTGCTCCAAACTCACAACCAAATTCTGCTCAAATCTCAAGACCTGCTCCAAACCCAAAATTGAACTCTGCTCTGCCCAAAATTATTTTTTCCCATCAGTGTATTTTGTTTGTTTTTGTCTTTAAGTTAACCCTGACTCCTGTTGACTGCCTGGACAAGTCCAGGAACTTTCCTTGGCAACATTTTTAGAAGTGGTTTTCCATTGCTTTTGTCTTTGATCTAGGAAGAGTGAGAACTCAAGTTTCCCTACTTCTAGTTACTACTCTAACCAATAGATCAAACTGGTTCTCAGTATACTTTGCACCATGTAATTATGCAAATGGTATACAAATTAAACAGGAAAATATAGATGATATAAAAGTCAAATAGTATAGTCAATATATTCATACCAATTATATCTTCCATTGAAATGTTCTTTTGCAAATCATTTAAAATTCAAGATGGGTAAATCTAGTGAGATGTTTAAACTTCTAATGCAACATAACTCTTCATGAAGTTTATAAAATGAGTATTAATGTTTATACAACACAATTATCTGTTCAATTTAAGCAGCTATGGCTTAACTTGTCCTTTTACTTATATAGAACTTTTTTATTTACAATATAATCTTAAAATATGGAGAAATTGTTTCAACTACTTACTTAACTAAGTGATTTCCAAACTCGCAACCTAAAATAATTATTAAAAATATTGAATGTTGTATATATCTTTTGTCAATTGACATATACTACTAAACAACTAATCAATTTAAACTACATTCATTTTAAAAAATAAATACATAAACTTATCAATCTAAAATATTTATTCAGTAAAATGTATTGAATTTTAATTTCAAATGGTTAAGGATAAGCCCTTATAATTTGTAAATCTTTACAAATTTACAATTTGTAAATCTGGCATAAGAAATATTGCTTTTTTCTCTTCAGATTAATTTCTATATCTCATTATTTTTATATAATTCAGAGAACTATTTATATTGTCCAAAGCCTTTGTCACTTAATCATTATTCTACTCAAGAATCATTTTCCTTAACTTCTAGAAGCAAAACAATTAATGTTATTAGGTGCTTCATATTCATGCAATATATGCATACAATAAACATTTTTTTAATTTATCAAAGTTCAAAATTTCCAATAGTTTAATTTTTGAACCAGAAAAGCTAAAAATAGATCAAATGATTCAATACAACTATGTTTTATGAATATTTTTTATTGATATGCACAATATAATTACAAATAAAAATCTTTTGAGGTGAAGAGGTAAAATAATGATTATTATAAAAGTTTAGATAATGTTGAAAATTGTTAAACATGTTAGGAAAAGAATGTTGATTGGTAATCTATGTTATTAAGAAGCCTGATGGTTCATGTGATTAGGACAGTGGCTTGACAAGCAGCAAACTCATGTTCGAGGCATGAGTGCTGCCATGGGGCTGGGTAAGCTCCCATTATTTGCTCCAGCTCCTCCCGGAGATATTAAAGAAGGCCCCAACTGGGTGTACGCCAGGCAACAGTGATGTCACTAGCTAATCCTTTCAAACTGGAATCACTTCGGTGCCTCCAACAAGAGTGCAAAATCTATTCTATTTTAGTAAATTATTGTTGAAATACCTGGAGGCAAGCGCAACACTTTTGTGGGTGCCAGCCTGAATGCTGCCTTTGGCAACAAAGGTATATCTACTCTCTTTCCAAATCCTATGGACTGAAGGACAAGAGTCTTCTCATGATTGTAGATATGCAGAGCTGATTCTTTTTCTTTTCTAGTTATTTCTAGGGAAAATAAATTAAGGTTTTGTCAGATCATTAAACTATTTAAATACTTTTCATTACATGTTCAAGTCTCTTTGGCTTTTATTTTTTAAGAGACTTATCACATTCCACAAAATATTCCAGAGACTCCTTTATGTCTTTCTATTCTTTCTTTAGAATATTCACTGAAAATTTCAGTGCCAATTGCCCTTTTAGAGGCATTTTGAAACCTTGCTTCCACAAGGTATTATTGGTGGTTGATCCATAAAATTGAGAATTTTTTAGATTTATGTGTGAATAAAGTGGATAAGGAGTAATAGCTTTTTCCCTTTCAAAATATTATAGCCGGATGTCAATCAATGAAATTGAATAAATGAAATTGGAAAAATCAGGACTAAAAAAATTATTTTTCATAACACATAATTAAACTTCAGAATTTGCTACAATGTGATGTGTTGATGGCTGTCAGCTTGACTGGCTGCAAAAAAGGGTTAGATTAATTCATAGGAATCATGGGTATGAATAGTGACTACATGTAGTTTGCAACCTACAATCATTTGTTCAGTGACTGTTCAGTTACAAAAATCCTGAAAATTAAGGTGGTTAGGACCAATCCTTGAAATGCCAGTCATTATAGCACCCTCATGGTCATTTGTTTGCAATCTGGGTGCTTGGTGATTGGTTTGCAGTTACGACTAGTTGCAACGTTTTGCAATAATGTGATTGCTATTTGCTATCTTCTCTACTGGCTTCTTCAGAAATTAAAAGGGAAAGCCATCAGGGAAGGTCACTAGTTGCCCTAGTGCACCCTCCCTAACACTCATGTGACCCTTGAACTATCGTACAACTCCATGACCCATGTCTCTTGAGCCCCTTTGCTATAATTCTCATTCACCTCCTACCTAGTACCTTCCATGAACTGCACCCCTTGCACACTCCTTGCACTCCTTCCTCAATCCTTGATGGACCTCTCACATGCACTTGCATATACCCTCCCCATTTGCATAGCATCCCCAATCTCTAATCCGCATCCTCATACACCCTATCCCTCTTCCACACCACCTTGCACACTCCTCTTGCATGTCACACCTCATGCACCCCTTTGCACCTATTCAGACTTGCACCTCTCATGCATTTCCTCAGCCCCACTCCTTGACCTGCAGTATGCCTCTAACCCAGCCCTCATACTCTTACACATCCTGCCTCACCCTCTCCATTCCTTCCCATGTACCCCTTGCTACTTTCTCCACCCAGCAGCAGCCACTTACCTGCCTGACAGTTTGTGATTTTGTTCTGGAAACCTGGCAGGAACACACTTCACCAAGCAACCATGCGATTCGGTTAACAACAGCAACTAGGACTACTGGGATTGCTATTGCTAAGCAATATAGTAGTTCGTTACAATTGCATCACTTAGAAATGAAAATTCTGATCCCAATTTCTACTGTAAGTCAAGGACTACATGTACTCTGAAAGCCATCTGCTGGGAGACTAGTGGGCTTGCTGCTGCAGTTGGCTGGGCACTGTGAGAAAAAACTGCTAAACTAGACAACCCAAAAGATCAATGTAACCGGATACTGATTATATTCTTATTTATTTATCAAATCTATATAAACAACCCTCTATTAGGGTTGGGAAGCAAAAAATTAAAAACAATATATCAAGAAGATTATTAAAACTAATAAACAATGTTGAAGCCTCAATAAAACTCATATTTATCCATCAACCATCCAATGCTAGCTCCATCAACAAAATATACAACAATAAGATCCATGCATATTAAACCTTATATAATTATTTTAACCACAAGAATAATACTTTTATTCTTTGCAAAACACTTCTCTTGAAAAAAGAGAATTCTACCTTTTCTGTCGAGCAAAATTACTGAGGGAATGTGATATATTACATATAGGCGATATCTGCATTCTTGTGATAGAGGATTGTTAAACAGGTCTGCAAAAGTTGAAACACAGAAGAAAATTATTGAGCAAAACCTTGACAATATTCATGCTAATTTCCACTTTGCAAACATAATATGCCATTTTGAATTCAGAAAGTATATTTTTTCCTGAACCTTCTGACCCATTGTGAAATGCATTGTGAAAATATGACCACCCTTGCTTTTTGGCATCTTTTGTGTCATTATCTTTTAAATGCTTATGTACCTTATGATTAACTGGGAAAAGTTACTACTTTAAGCAAAAAACTACAGGTTCCACATAATGTGTTATTCTTTTTCCCCCCTGCCCCTTGCAAATAGACTTGCTAATGCACTTCAAGCAGAGACAAACAGCAACTGCAATAGACCTGCCTCTTTCCTAAGTGATTTATTAAGATCATCATCAGATTTCAGTAAAATAACATGTATTCGATACTACATCCAGGTTTACAAGGTTGATGAAGTAGACAAGCTCAAGAAATCTATGTACTACACATTGAAATAGGCTATAATAATAGAATCTTAATATCCTGATTGTGTATTACCACCCTCCCTTTTATATCATAGTGTATCGGGTAGTAGCTACATTTGTGTCTTCTAAATACAATCTTGTTTCCCAAGAATTAAGTTAAGTTTTAGATCTCTTTGCTTATACAACAGTTTTTGCCTATTTCCATCTCGTAACTCTCTACAATAAGCCACAAGTTACATTAAAATTTTAGGATTTGAAGATACATTACTTTGGAAAAGCATATTGGTTTAGTACATCTGAATAATATGAATGTCTATATAATGGATAATAAGGTGTGTTTTTTCCAAGGAATTCTAAAAAGTCTGTTTTAGAAATAATTTCTTTTTCATAAAAAGGAAATCTAATTAATTGCACTTAAAGAACCACTAGATGGCAGCAGTGGAAAGAACACATACTTACACTATTTTTGAACCTTTCTTAGGAATTATGTCAATATTAACCAGAATATTTTCCTATTATAGTATGGATTTTCATTTCAATTATTTGTAGAGTATGCTATTTTGCATAATCTTTTGTGTAATTTAATAAATTACACAAATATATCAAGATTTAATGTAATAAATGAGTAGTTTTGCTGAACATTATAATTAATACCTTTTTGAAAAATAAAAATAGTTCCTTGTCTATAATCACTGGATAAATTACATTGGTTACAGGACTGTCAATTTGAAAGAACTATAAATAATGTCTTTAATATTGTGTAGTATTCTGGGTTTGTTTGTTTTTAAAATAGATGGCATAATGGCCGTTTATATATTGTTCTTCAAGTCAGTCTTGACTCCTGGCAATTGCCTGAATTTATACAGCTTTCTTGGCATGATTTTTAGAAGCAGGTTGCCATTGCTACTTTCTTAGGGCTAGGAGAGCAACTAGCCCAAAGTCACCCAATAGTGTCCTGCAGCAGTAGAACTCTTCAGTTCCCTGGTTTCTAGCCTGGTGCCTTTTACCACTATAATGAACTGGTTCTTACTGATCTACTTAAATTATCTTAAATAAATATTCTTATCTAAGAAAAGTGTTTTTCTTCTAAACCAATCTCAACACAGTTATTTTGGAAATGTCCATACCCATCATAAACCTTCTCCCTTTCAATAGCTGGTATTTTCAAAATGTAGCTGGGATAATCTAACAATCATTAATCATCTTTTTAACTTTAGAGTGATTCAGATTTGTTTCTGTGAAATGTTCGGTATGCTAGTAATGATTTGGATATTATTAAACACCTTTAATACTTATTTTACCAAGGAATAAGTTCTTACTTCTTAGAATTCTGAAAGCCTAGCATGATGCATGAGTGCATTCCTTGGGGGGGGGGGGAGAAAGATTGCCTACACACTAACTTTAAGCTTAACAGTTTATAATCCTACTTCCCTGCAGGCAATTTCATACAGCAGAATTTAGTGGCGCCAGTACTGTCTTGTTATCTTAATACGAAGTTTCAAACTAAGGCATTTTCATCTGTCCTTTGCTGTGCCCAATATAGTAAAAGAACACACACACACATTAATTAAAAAGTACACAGGTGTGCTGAATTACAAAAAATGTTTCTTAACAAAAGAACCTATTTTAAAAAAATTGAAATATAGTATTCCATTCCCTTCTCCAAAGCTGCTTCTATGAAACAAATATATTTATGTTAGTACTGTTATTCTATGTGAGAAATACACACACACACACATTATTACTTAAGGTATGTAAAGTTCGCAGTCCTTGTAGTTCTTTCATAGTCATATCCAAATTTTTTAGCTGATTGTTGTGAAGCAGCAAGATCTGCAGTGAGTGTAAATTTTTCAGAGCACCTAAAAATGATAATAAAAAAATAAGGCACTATTGGAACAACTTGTACTTTAATTCCTATTGCAAGAAAGGCAATAAAACAATTAAAACAGTCATGCTTTCTTTATAAGATTCTTGAAAGCATTTAGTTGGATGGTAAAAGCTTGATGGACCCATAATCAAGATAAGGAATATCCAAACTCTTCAATTCATCACCTTTTTCATGAAGTTTCAGATTGCTCATCCACCTCCAAACATTTATTACGTGAAAATAGTGGTAATCATCATATTCTAGATATTATTCTTGCTGCTACCAATCTCACCTTTCGGATGAAGAACTGGCATATTCTACAAAGACCCCAAAAGATTAATTGACCACAATTGACCTATCATTTGTTGGCCACCTTCTGATTCCCAGCCATTTACTGACCTACTTTTTATTCCCAGTCATTTATCCACCCCTGGGATAATCCCAGCAACCCTTGGCAATAGATATTAACCATTTTGGGAGACTGTGGCCTAGACCATGTTCTGACTATGACCATCAAGTGAAATCATGCCAAAAGGAAAACAGCTGGCCTACTATTATTGCAAATAGTTATTTTGAGAGTTATGGTGGCACAATGGTTAGAACACAATATCACAGGCTAACTCTGCCCACTGCCAGGATTTTGATTCTGACTGGCTCAAGATTGACTAAGCCTTCCATCATTCAGGGGTCAGTAAAATGAAGACCAAGATTGTTGGGGGCAATATGCTGACTCTGTAAACTGCCTAGAGAGGGCTGTAAAGCACTACGAAGCAGTTATAAGTATAGTTCTAGTGTTGTACTATTTAACAGAAATCATAATAAAATTACAGTAGACCAACATGCCTGTTATTAGCAACTATCAATTAAATTTGACCTATGTGTTTGTGTTCATCTACAACATTTATGATTATGTCATTATGCAAGTGACATAGCTGATGCAATTTCATCATTCACAGAAGTGATACAAATCACTGTTGAAATATAGTCTATATTGTATGTAAAACTTCTTTTATTAACATCCATGTAAAGAGATTTCACTGCATTAGAACATTACTTAAACTCAGGCAGTACAAATACCGGTATCATATAACCAAGTCAATATAAGAATTCAACTAAAAATATGAATAAATTAATCTCAGTCATATAAAAGTAACAATTGGAATTTAAGATTTATTCTCTGATTGGATGGGGGTGTGTTCTGTTTAGGTGGGAGCTTTGTTGTGCTCAGATTAGTCTGAGTTGCAGGGGGATTTGAGATGGAGAGCTGCGTTGCTGTTGTTTGGCTTCGCGTTCGTGGTCATGCCATATCTTCATGGTGGGTGTCAGTTTGCTTTATGTATGGATTGGAGGGGTTTGAAATGGCTAATGATGCAGCTATGGTCTGGCTTTTGGTTTGTGTTCGTGCCTCATCATCGGTGTGGGTTTGGGTTTGCTTTTTGCGTGGATGTGTGATGGTGACATCCTGTGTGGTTTTCGTGAGTGTGGGTCTAGTGTCACCCAAACAGAACACCCCCCCATCCAATCAGAGCACATGCAACCCCCCATCCAATCAGAGCACAGCCAAGCCCCTAACCAATCAGAACACACCTCCACCCAATCAGAACAGCCAAGCTCCCACCCAATCAGTTCATACCCCCACTGGCAGTTAAAAGGAAGAAACAGCTGCAATCACACATTGCTCCTAGAAGCACGAAGCCGAAAACACCAGCCTGAAGATGACGAATGGGACTTCGTCGAAACGTCGCCAAGACACTTCCAATTTTACATGGGAGAAAACCCGAATAACCAAAGACCTACATACAAACACCCGCAAAAACTTCAGAAAACATATATATATGTTAGATGCCAGCAAGAGGAATTCAGATTCTGGCATGATGTCATGGTTCCGACTAATTAAACACTTCAAAGAACTTTCAGGCATGTTTATCCTAAAGCCTTTATTAACAGTGTTATAAATTGACGGCAATCATGGAGGTTTATGCCAGAATCTGAATTCCTCTTGCTGGCATCTAACTTTTCTTGCTAAACCCTTCCCTTATCTTGCAGTCACAGGTCTGCCCAGAGGGCAGAGATTCACTTCCGTTCCTTTTCCCGGCTTTTGTTGTTATTCCCCTCCCTTTTCTCTGTCATCTGAATTAACCCTAAAAATAGCAGACAGTTCTGCATATTTTGTCAAAGCAAGAATATTCAATATTAGCAGCGTTGACATTATATATATATATATATATA